CACCCTACTCAAATCTGAACTTGCTGTTCTCTAGGCATTCTGACAGCTGTCATGGTAGACGTCCTCTCATCATCATCCTGGAATTCCCTTTGTCTCTCTCCTCTACTGAATCCCTTGTTTGTATGAATATCATGTCCTTCTCATTCTTCAATTAATTCCTTATTCTTAGGAATTAATTAGTGACTCACATTTTCCAGTAACTTCTTCAGAAAGTGTCCTAAAATACTGCTATTCCAAGCTCATAAATTATTGCTATTTGGGCTGGGTATAGAATTCCACCTTGGAAATTTTTTTCCTTCAAAAAGTTTTAGGAACTTCTCTGGTCATTTCTAACTTTCAGTTATCAATGAGAAGCCCAAAGCTGCCTTAATTCCTGATTTTTCATTGGCAAAATATATTGTCTTCCCAATAACCAAAAGCTTTTGGAATATTATCTTTATTCAGATGCTCTGAAATTTTGTGATGTCTTTATCTTGGTGTAGTCTCTTTTCATCAGTTGTGTCAAGTGCTTAGTGGGCATTTTCATTATTAATTAAATTCACTTGTTCCTTTCTATCTCTATACCTGCCTCCCATGTCTCTGCTATACAAATTACCATTACAATATGCAGGTTTTCCCCAGTATCTGAAATTTCACTTTATACCACTTTGCTTTCATGAAAAATCCACATTAGTACATATTTTCGATAACCGAAAAAAATCCAAAGAGCATTTTTGCCTTTATGAAATGGTAACTGCTTCTTTACTTTGTCATATTGGTTTATGAAAGATTTCAAAACAATGCTATTTCAATTCAACACCAAAAAAAAAAAAATACTCCACAAAGTCATACTAAAAGATGGACAGGGGACCTGAATAGACATTTGTCCAAAAACAATGCACAGATGGTTAACAGACCCATGAAAAGATGCTCAACATCACTAATCAAAGAAATGAAAATCAAAACACAGTGAGATATCATATCATACATATCAGAATAGATATGATAGCAAAAGGATAAGAAATGTGTTAGCAGGGACGTGGAGAAAAGGAAACCCTCAAACATTGTAAGAATCTAAGTTGGTGCAACTACTGTAGAAAACAGTATGGAGATTCCTCAAAAATTTAAAAATAGAAATACCATGTGCTCCATTAATTGCACTACTAGGTATTTATCCAAAGAAAGCAAAAACACTAATTTGAAAAGATTAAATCACCCCAAGCTTACTGTAGCACTCTCTGCAATAGCCAAGATATGGAAGCAACTCAAGTGTGCATCCATAGAAGGTAAAGAAGATGTGGTATACATAGGCAATGGAATATTACTAGGTCATAAAAAAGAATGAGGTCTTGTCATTTGTGACAACACAGATGGACCTAGAGGGTATTATGTGAAGTGAAATAAGTCAGACAAAGAAAGACAAATACCATATGATGTACAAAGGAACAAACAAAAACCTGATGCTTACATACAGAGAACTGGTGGTTGCCTGAGAGGGGAAGGGAGTGGGGGGATGGGCAAAATAGATAAAAGGATTAAGTTACAAACTTCTAATTATAAAATAAGCCACAAAGCCAAACAGTACAATTTAGGGAATATAACCAATAATATTGTAATAATGTTATATGGTGGCAAATGGTGACTACACTTATGGTAAGCACCATGTAATGTATAGAATTGTCAAATCAATAGGCTGAACCTCTGAAACTAATTTAACATTGTATGTTAATTATATTTCAATAAAAAACAAAAAATGTTTTATCTTCAGGTAGCAAGAGAAGCTTGTATTCAATGTATACTTTTTATTTGAAAGCATTCTCACAAACTATGTATTGCATATGCATGTATTTTTTATTTATGTGGATGGTATTATACCATGCTATTTCTTCTTGTTTTCACTAAACTCTGTCCTTTTAAAATATTCTATGTTGCCATATGTATACGGTATTTGTTGCTCCTAATTGCTGCCTCGTATGTCATGATATGCATACAACAGCTTACTTATCTACCATCCCAATTATGGATGCCCAGGTTCTCCAACTCCCCCTCAAAGACTATCCTTGCACACATTTCAACAGACCTTTTGCTCTGGCAATGTGTGTTTACTGATTCTGGAAACATTTTTTCAATATTTTTCTTTGTAAATTTCTTCCTCTCCACTTCCCTGTTCTCTTTATGGAACTCTTAATAGTTGAATGTTGGACGAATTCTTTGATTTTCTTATTTTTGTTCGACTTTCTAGGTGATTTCATTAATTTCATATTCCAACCATTTACTACCTCATTATTTTCATCACATGTTTACATTTTTATATTAATTCATGTTACATTAATGTAAATTTTACATTATTTATTTTACATTAATTCCCAAGGGCTCTTCCTAATGGCTAAATATTCTTTTTTAAATAGCAATGTTAGTTTGTGGATAAAATTATTTCTCTTCTATCTCTGCTGATATCAGTTATGCTTTTTAAGTCTTTTGCTCCCTGCATCATTGATATTCCATCTAATTCCTTTTTTTAATGTATTATTTTTTGTCTTTTGTTTTGAACATTTTCTTCAAATGCTGGTAATCTCTAGCTGTGCATTAATATTTAAGAGCAAGTCTCAAAAGGCTTATTGGAAACTTGTGTGTATGGCTAGAGCTTCTAAAATGATGAGTGTGGTGGGTTGAATGCCCTTACCAAAAAATACATAAATATATATATATCTCAACATCCTCATTCCTGGATCCTATGAATGTTACCTTATTTAGAAAAAGAGTCCTTGCTGGATGCAATTAAATTAAGGGTCTGGAGATGAAGAGGTCATCCTGGAATATACAAGTGACCCTAAATCCAATGACAAGTATCCTCATAAGAAAGAGGCCCAGGGAGATTTTAGACAAAAGAGAAGGAGGCAATGTGACCACAGAGTAAGAGACCAGGGTAATGCAGCCACAAGCCAAGGAATACTTGGAATCATCAGTGACTGGAAGAGGAAGGAAATAAATTCTCCCCTTGAGCCCTCTCAGGGAGTAATGCCCTGCCAGATTTTGGACCTCTAGGCTCCAGAACTGTGAAAGAGTTAATATCTTTCACAGTCTGAAGCCACCTAGTTGGTCCATTTCTTGCAGCAGCCATTGTAAACTAATAGGAGCCTCACTGAGGGTGATGGGTGGGAGCCATTTCTCTGGCCATCCTCAGATATCAGCGTACTTAGATTCTTCTCTTAAGATGTACAGTTTCCCCACAGAGGAATCCTACTAACCCTTACCAGCTCGATCCACTTCCGTGAGTCAACAGTAGATGTGGGCTAGAAGCATGATGTTCAGTTTGCGGAATTGACTACAAACCTATCACCCCTACCCTCAGAAGCACCTGATGTTACCACTGCAAATTTCTGATTCAGCCTCCAAAGAGACAAGAAGTCTTCTGACTTTGGCTGGGGTGGGCAGTTGGGCAGGGCAGATACCAGTTGAAGTGTTTGGGGGTAGAGATTTAGGGTGTTGGTCAGAAGGCATCAAAGTATTCCTTACGAGGGCTTTTGACCAATCCTCTTATTTTTAGTGCCACCCATTCTTCATCTCTCAGACATACCTGGAGCCTCTCCAGGACTGTGGAAGGTTCTAAAGGACAATCATTTTGGCTTTTTATTGGCGTTCCTCACTAAAGGGCATTAAACCTCAGTTTTCCCACCACTAGATGAGTTACCATTTACTCTCCACCTTCAAAACTTTTGTTGACACATCTCATTTTTGTCATTTCCTCTCCTGTCTTATCACTATGCCCTTCTTAAAAATTTTTTCCTGTGTTTGTAGAGTTACAATGCATGACAAACTTAGTTCAGTCCACTATGTTGAAACAGAAGTACCACCATCTAACTTCCGCTTGAAGAACTTATGCTACTCAGAGAAGAAATTAAGTCCAGTTTTGCTTAGAGCAATCAATGTAAACCCTCTAAAATCGACCCCTGTTATAGCTCTATTTTATAGTTTTCATTTCCCAAAGTAAAGTTTCAGCCTAGGTAAGTTAGGTTGCATTACAATCTTTTCCCACCATAAGATTAGTCCCATTTCTTCATTTTTGCTTGTGATTTGGTGCTCTCCTTTCTGGAATGTTCACTCAGATATATTCTGTTTTATCCTATTACATCTTGTACATCCAAGCAAAAGGCCAGTCCTTTATGAAGCCATTCCTGATAACTTCAGAATAAATAGATTTGTTCCTTCCACCAAATGATTTACAGCTTACATTAGTAAGTAAAAGAATTTGCATTCCCTCACTCTTTCAAGTGTGTTGTCCTGTCTACAAAATACAATTTTCTTTTTTTTTAAAAGATTTTATTTATTTATTTGACAGAGAGAGAGAGAGAGGTGGGGGAGGGGGCAGAGGGAGAGAGAGAGAGAGAATCCCAAGCAACTCCATGCTGAGCACAGAGCCTGATGGAAAGCTCAATCCCGTGACCCTAAGATCGTGACCCCAGCTGAAATCAAGAGTCAGACACTTAACCAACTAAGCCACTCTGGTGCCCCACAAAGTACAGTTTTCTTAAGGAAGGAATCATGCCCAAGACTTTGTGTGTTCTTGGCAATGCTCACCATACACAGGACATTGCGTACTTGCTGACTGAGGTACACTAACCCAAGCTACAAATATGGGATTCGACATTCAATAAATGACAGAACAATACTCTTTGAGGGTAAAGATTGCATCTTACTCTACTTTATAACCCTCACAACCAGCACGGTGACTGACAAAGAAGGTCTATGACAGCTGAGTGAAAAGACGGATGGACACGTGAATTCTCACTAGATATCATGTTCAATACTGTAGGTGGTATACATATTTTTTTAACGCCTAAGAAAAATAAACACGATGAGAACAATGTTCACTACCGCATCTACCGCGTCCGGAATAGCAACTGGTAGACGGGCTGCTCAGTAAATGTCTTCCAAATGAATGCTCAATGAATGAATTGGTCGGCGGTCAGGAGCATTAGTTTACAGTTGGAAAGAAGTGAAGAGGAGAGAGTCTGGCTTACCCGGAGAGCACTCCCAGAACTAGGTTGAGAACAAAGAAGGATCCAATGATGATGAGGGGGATGAAGTACAGCCAGTTCCAGGTGGCTCCTAAGGCATCATTGGTCTGAAAGAAAGAAAAATGGTTCCTTAATATTTTACCAAAACCATCTGCCAGGAATAGGCCTCCCTTCCTGAAGCCTCATATATATGGCAATATAACAAGCACAGGTCAATATGATGAACACGGCCTGCTTCATTCCCAGCTTGGTGTTACAGTGGGTTAACTCCTATTCCACCACGTACAGAGTCAATGACCCTGCATGAGACTTGCATGATATCATGAGTAGGAATCGTCCAACACCCTCACTTAATAGCTGAGATAGCTAAATCCAGTGAGGTCAAGTCCTTCTCCAAGGTCATGGAAACAATTACTGGTTTTATAGTGTTTAGTGATGTCGGTTCCAAGCTTTTGCAGTCTAAGTTGGACAAACTGTCAAAAAGTCAGAGGCAAGCTATGGCCATCAGTCTAGTCCCTGGATGCTGGCGAAAGCTTTGACAGGGCTGCTTGGGGGACATTAGTGTCAGCCACTTCCCGCTTAGCCCTTTACCCTCGGCTCTGGCTTGCTTTCTTCTATCAGAGTCCAATAGTACAGAGCTGGCTCAGGCTTGGCCCCAGCGAGGCTCTGGACAGAACAATGAATAATTCTAAAGAGCAATCCCTCAGTGAAGTCAAAGTGCTTGGAAATCGTATTCTGGATTTTTATACTATAAGTGAGATACAAGACCCTTGGATGGTGGGGGTTGAGCAAGGATTATACCACATGGCTTAGCCAAGGCAGCAAGTCTTGGAATGATGTCTTATTAGGAACTAGAAACAGTTTGGGAACATTTTGAAAACTCTTCTCTAACACTTGAGCCTCTCAACTAAACCTCACCTTGACTCTCTTTCCCCATAATATCAACTCCAAGTCTTTCTAAATAGTCGCCTTGAATTGATTTTACATACACAGGGCTTTGAAGTCCCCCCCACCCCCACAGGCCCCTCACATGCAAACCTTAATACCCATTTGTAACAGTTAAAAGCTTTTTATTCTCAGTTCACTGGAGAAACAAAGCCATCGAAGTCAGATGCCATGCCTAAGATTCACAGGCTAAATTAGTAAAATTAAGATCTGAACTCAGAATTTCTAAGGCAAAGTGTTTCTTTGTCCCTGCGATTTACCTTTTTCTCCCTCTCGCTACTCAACTTTGCAAACATATTTTGACTCATTGTTCTCACACTTTCTGTGGACTTCTAGGGCATTCTATCTTTTCTATCAAAATTATCTAATTTTCGGGGCACCTGTGTGGCTCAGTTCGTTGAGCAACTGCCTTTGGCTCAGGTCATATTCCTGGAGTCCCAGAATCGAGTCCCACATCAGGCTCCTGGCTCCACAGGGAGTCTACTTCTCTCTCTGACCTTTTCCCCTCTCAAGCTCGCTCTCTCTCTCTCTCTCAAAAAAATAAATGAAATCTTTAAAAAAAATTATCTAATTTTCTTTCTGCCTCCCATTCAAATATCCACAGATTATAGCTTCCCACTGATCCTGGAAGCTATCACCATATAGTAGATTTTTCCATTAAAAATGACTTTTAAGGGGCACCTGGGTGGCTCAGTGGGTTAAAGCCTCTGCCTTCAGCTCGGGTCGTGATCCCAGGGTCCTGGGATCGAGCCCCGTATCGGGCTCTCTGCTCAGTGGGGAGCCTGCTTCCTCCTCTCTCTCTCTCTGCCTGCCTCTCCACCTACTTGTGATCTCTCTCTCTCTGTCAAATGAATAAAAAATCTTAAAAAAAAAAATGACTTTTAAGGGGCGCCTGGGTGGCTCAGTGGGTTAAAGTCTCTGCCTTAGGTTCAGACCATGATCTCAAGGTCCTGGGATCAAGCCCTGCGTTGGGCTCTCTGCTCAGCAGGGAGCCTGCTTCCTCCTCTCTCTCTGCCTGCCTCTCTGCCTACTTGTGATCTCTGTCTGTCAAATAAACAAATAAAAATCTTTAAAAAAAAAAAAAAGAAGGCAATAGGATGATATGTTCAAAGTGCTAAAAGAAAATATTTGTCTATCAAGATTCTATTCCAGCAAAACAATCTCTCAAAAATGGCAAAATACATTGCCAGATAAGTAAAAACAGATGTTTTTTAAAAAAATGACTTTTAAGGCAACCTCTTTCACCAAACTTGTGTCTTTCGTCTTGCCCCCACACTGTTCAGAGACAGATGATTGCAAATGAAGCAGAATATAACTTAAAAACAAACAGCTGCTGAACGGTGGGGCAAAGGTGGGGTCTGCCGATTTCTGTGTGTGTAAGATCTAACTCTTCAGTTCAACCGGGTCTGGTCCGTTAAATGCAAGCAAGGAAGATGTGGACCAGACCTCAGAGAAAACTGCTCCTGATTATCAGAAAGATGTAGAAGAGCTAGATGCTGAAGGCCAGCCACAAGAGATTTTAATGAACAGAGGAAGCTGTTTTTTCTGGGACAGTTTAGACACGGTCCTTCCTATAAGCTGAAGGATGGATTACATGACCCTTGTATAAATAGCTCTGTCTTTATTCATGATTACAAATGCAACATTTTGTAAAGACTGGTTAGCTTGGATGGCTCACCAGCAGTGCACAAGACCAACAAGTTTCATCCACTAGATGGCTTAGCCAGGGTCCCCCGTCCCCCAGCATTCTTTGGCAGCAAGGACCACGTCCACTCCCTGTACCCAGATCAGAGCTGAGCTGCCAGTATGTCTGAGTTGGTACCGGCCGTGGCAATCATGAAACATGCTGTTAAGGCACCTTTGGTCCCTGGAGCGACTGAGCTACAGTCTGAGGATGGCGAGAAGCAATTTCAGTAAGGGGACGATTTGCCCAAGATGCTATGGAGTGAAGAGCATTTCCCAAATCGCATTCTACTCATTGCTAGTCATCCGTGTGAATGTGTTCTGTGGGAAATGAGCTTCTGTAACCAAAGAAACTTAGGAAACACAACAGATTCTATTTTCCCCTTAGCCTGAAAAGTTATTAACTTTAATATCATTTCATATACTTTCTGGATTATGAAACCTCCTTTTGTGAAGGAAATCTTTTAACATATGAGGAAATACAGCCTGTGAAATGCAGGGATAAAAGGACTCTCCTCATGGGCCTAACGTCTGGAAAACACTTCTCAGTTCTGCCAGAAAAAAACAATGACAGACAGTGTCTCTTTAACCATGTGTTGAGAACGCTCTGGCTTTGGGTTTAACCCACCTTAAGGTAAGAACCTTAACTGTCCGTTTCTATATATGGTACCTAGTGAAGGGTTCGGCACATGAAGTATTTGTCAACTAACCAATACACGACCACAATTTGAGTAAGAACATTCTCCTGCTTAAAATGTATCCCCCAGAATTGTTCATTCTGAAATTCCCCTCAAGCTTTGTCTGAATTGTTTTTTAAGAAAAATCGCCACCAACAATGGCACCAGGCTCTGTTTGATGAGAAAAAGGAGAGAAAGGGGAAGAGAAAGAGAAAAAGAAAGGCTAGGAGGACACTAGGGACAGCGGCATGGTATCCTGGGGAGTTATTACAGATGACTGATGGCGTAAAGATTCTTCTGGAGAAGCCAGCTTGACAGCTCCCCAAGATTATTCACAAACCTTTTAATAGACTTGTCGCACCCTCTCTACACCTTTCTCCCCTCCCTCAGGCTTCCTCCTGGTTACTCCCCTCCCACCTTTCCCCACCAGGAGACCTCCCCCTCACCTCACATGCCTGTCAGTGGATCAAGGACAAATCCAGCTGGACAGGGGGACATAACTCAGCAGGAAGGGGGAAAGGACTTCAGGTTTCCCTCCTCCAAAATGGCAAGATTCTTTCTGATGCTAATTAGAACTTCAACCTCCTTTCTGATTCATCATTATGAAAACCTTAAAACTGTCCAGTGTAGGAGAGACAACGACTCAAGTGTCTTTTGAGATTAAAAAAGAAGAAAGTAATCAACAACTCTGGAGTGAGTAAGTGTCCTGAAGTCCCATGAGGTGGGAGTCAGGAAGGCCAAGGAGAAAGTGGCCAGTGCGACCTCAGAGTTGGGACGGTTTTCTCTCAAGAGGCCATGTGTCCCTGTCACAGCGGGAGGGGGAAGGGAGGAAGGCTACTGATGCGAGAAGGCCTTGTCCTCTGCTCCATTCTCCAAACCCATCTGCTTCTGTGACTCTGACAAGCTCCCCACCTGTGGCATCATCACACTCCACTTTCCCTGGCGACTTTTCCCTCAGGAGAGAAGGCTGCTATGCCTTCTTCTGGAGGCAGCCATGCTGAGTTACTCTGAGCAAGATGCTGGGGAAAGAGACCTGCAGCTTTCTGAACATGTTCCACTGGCTTCTGGCCCAAGAGTCTCACAGTGGAAGCTCCCCTGCCTAGCTTGCTACTGCAAAGCAGCTGAGGCAAAACGAGTCTCCTCCCTTCAGGGAAGGATCTTCATTCCCCACCATTCATGCAACACCTACTCTTTGGCAGCCATTACAGAAGAGTGTTTTTCTTCGGGGCAATGTCCTCTCAGTGAGGGCGCGGATTCTCAAGCCAGCCCAGCCCAGCCCAGCCCCTCGACCCACCGGCAGGCTGGCTGATGTCTGACTTTCTCACCTGCTGACTCCCTGAGTGACACACACACACACGCACACGTGTGCACAGTGGGGTAATGACAGACAGAGAAAGCAGTCGGGGGTGGCCGCCCACCTGCATAAGGAGTGCTCAGTGGGTTCCAGTGCTGACACGGTGAGATGTGTTCCTTTGGGAACCTGCCTGATTGGGGCTGGGGAGCACACCCACTCGCTGCGTAAACAGGCACACATGGCAATTATCGCATTAATCTCTGGAGGACTGGGGGAAATGGTAGAAGGTGGGGTGGGAGGAACAGGATTGAAAAGAAACAGGAGCATGGAGGCAGCGAGATGAAGTGGGGGTTCCCGTGGTTCTCCTGGACTGAAGCTGGAGATGCAGAGCTAGGCCCTCACTCTCAGAAGCAGGTCTCTGTCAAGGTTCCATGCGGCTCTGGAAGAAATGCTGAAAGGCCTCTTCTATGTACCCGCCTTTCACAGAGCAAATTGGACCAAGGAGTCT